CGGAGGCAGTCTCTTTTGGGCTAACCTAAAAGCAAAATTGTCTGACTTCCGCAAAATTTCCTTGTAGGCTTCTGGCATTGGTGTATAGACACCCTAATGTATGTCGATTAGCCCGTCTCCCATTAGCAGCACTATATGTTGCGGGCCTCCTAGTGTCCGTCCCTCCTGTCCTTCCTATGTCCAATCTCATCTCCACAGCTATCTCTCCTCTCATTTTACTCACCTTCTCCATACTGGAATCTGGCGGCTCAGAATGTCCGTTGGCTCCAGCCATCTGCTGCTGGCTCATCCCTTGCTACTTTATAATCTTCCCAGGCTTAGAGCATGCTGGGGTTTCCAAGAACGGACTTCAGCCATTCACCCACGTTGGCCTCCTTGCACCCAACGCCTAACTGGCTATCCCCACCTTTGTGCTGCAAGCCAGGTTTGTCATGGAGGGCATCCCTTCCCCCCGCTGGCCATATAGCTCACCAGTGGCACCGGTGGTGGTGAACGAGGAACTAGTGCTGTGCACTGGTGAGCATGGGATCTGCCCCCTCCGCGGGTGAGCTGACCCAGGCCAACTTCTGCTGATTGCAGCCTTTTGAGGAGTCACTAAATGGACACAGTGCTGTGGGGGTGGGTGGCTGGAATGACAGCAGTATCATGCTGGGTGGGCGCTGCGTGCTGGTGAGAGGAACCTCATCAGTACCAAGGATACTCCTGCATGTACTATGTTACTGAACCAGTTTATCTGTTCAAAATCTTCATTAATGATCTGGAGGATGGCGTGGATTGCACTCTCAGCAAGTTTGCAGATGACACTAAACTGGGAGGAGTGGTAGATATGCTGGAGGGTAGGGATAGGAGACAGAGGGACTTAGACAAATTAGAGGATTGGGCCAAAAGAAACCTGATGAGGTTCAACAGGGACAAGTGCAGAGTCCTGCACTTAGGATGGAAGAATCCCATGCACTGCTACAGACTAGGGACCGAATGGCTAGGCAGGAGTTCTGCAGAAAAGGACTTAGGGGTTACAGTGGACAAGAAGTTGGATATGTGTCAACAGTGTGCTCTTGTTGCCAAGAAGGCTAACGGCATTTTGGACTGTATGAGTAGGGGCATTGCCAGCAGATCGAGGGACATGATCATTCCCCTCTATTCGACATGGGTGAGGCCTCATCTGGAGTACGGTGTCCAGTTTTGGGCCCCACACTACAAGAAGGATATGGAAAAATTGGAAAGAGTTCAGCGGAGGGCAACAAAAATGATTAGGGGGCTGGAGCACATGACTTATGAGGAGAGGCTGAGGGAACTGGGATTGTTTAGTCTGCAGAAGAGAAGAATGGGGTGGAGGGGGGGGGAGATTTGATAGCTGCTTTCAACTACCTAAAAGGGGGTTCCAAAGAGGATGGAACTAGACTGTTCTCAGTGGTACCAGATGACAGAACAAGGAGCAATGGTCTCAAGTTGCAGTGGGGGAGGTCTAGGTTGGATATTAGGAAAAACTTTCACTAGGAGGGTGGTGAAGCACTGGAATGCGTTCCCTAGGGAGGTGGTGGAATCTCCATCCTTAGAGGTTTTTAAGGCCCGGCTTGACAAAGCCCTGGCTGGGATGATTTAGTTGGGAATTGGTCCTGCTTTGAGCAGGGGGTTGGACTAGATACCTCCTGAGGTCCTGTCCAACCCTGATATTCTATGATTCTAACAAAAATCCCTGTGTTGCTTTCTTCTCCTCTCCTGTCTTCACCACTCCTACACTCTCTCCTTCCAACTCCCTCCTCCTGATCTCTCCCCCCCTCCCCTGTGTGCTCCCCTTCACGCTTCCTTCCACGCTGCTTTCTCCTCCCCGCTGGCCAGGTGGAAGGGGAAGAGCTGGCTGAGCTGCAGCATCTGCACGAATGCACCTACCGGCAGGCGCAGAAGTTTTGTGAACATGGGGATGCCGCCTTGAGGCAGATTCTGATGCGCCGCGGACCCCTGCCTGAGAAGGAAGAGGACATCCAGGTAATGAGGGAGTTGCTGGCTGGGCGCCTACAGGAGGCTGCCTTCTTAGAAATACACATACAGATTTCACAGCTGCAATGGCCAGAAAAGGTCAATTGTGAATCTCTTCTCTGAGCTCCTGCATCACCTGGAGCCCCAGGGTGGAAGTAGAGCAGACGTTCAGAAAGACATCCAGTCATGATCTCCAAGCGGAAGAGGATCCGCCATGTCCCTTGAGGAGCTGGTGCAGTGGTTAATTACCCTCACGGTTAAAAATTTGCATCTGATTTCCAGCTTGAATGTAGCTGACTTCAACTTGCGGCCATTGGATCCCAAAATGCCTCTGTCTGCTAGATTAAAGACCTCTCATAGCAGAGATATTCCTGTCTAGGCACTTAGAGACGTCATGAAATCGCTCCTGGCTGAGCTCCTTTAGTCTCTCATTGTGAGGTGTTCTCCCGAACTGAGTCACTCTTACAGATCGACTCTGAATCCTCTCTGACTTGTCCAAATCTAACCGGCACCAAGCAGAACCTGCCATTACAAAATAAAAGGGACGGGTGCCCAGGGCAGGAGCAGCAAAGGGGCCGGCAGGTTGAGAGTGAGGTGCATTGGGGGAGCCCAGGACTGGACCAGCAGGTCACACCATCATACATTAGCAGAGCTGGGGGGGAACGGAGTTTGCACTCCGCGTTACTGACCAAAAATACTTGGGTGGCTATTTTCTGCCTAATTGTTTGTTTGTTGTAAAAGTGCCTGGAGTCCCAATTGGGGATCAAAGCTCCATTGTGCTAGGTGCGGCAGCTTGTCCCTGCCCCAAAGAGCAATTTGTTACTCTCTCCTTTTTAAAACAAGAACAGGGTTGAGGATAGTGATATGGTCACAGGGGAAACTGAGCTCCTCTGCATGCCAAGATGAATTGCTTGGGGAACCTACTATGATCTCTAAACCCTGCAAGGGGTCTGAGCTGGAGTGGGGGCAGGGGGGGGGGGGAGCGGGGAGATCCTTTCAGTGGATATATCTCAATCCCAGGTGCACGACCATGAGTTTTCACTGTCCTGGTGAATATATCAACTGTAAGACCCGTTTGCCTGGTTTTAGAGTATACGCTGCGGGACGAACCATTCCCCACAAAGCTCTTGCTGTTTGGTGGGGACCCTAGAGGTGACAAATAAGTCAATGTGTCCTGCCTCGTCTAGTTTTTGCTCCTGTTGCTATTTAGAGAGGATTTTCCTTGCCAAGCATCATTTTTAGTGCTGGTTTGTGACCCTCAGCTATCTAACAGTTGGCCCACAGATATTTTTAAACTGTTCCTGGAATCAAAATTAAAAAAGTAAATATTTGTGGCTCCTTCAAGGAAATGGCCTCTCTGGCTAGGGCCAAGGTGCCCCAGGGGTTGGATCCAACTCGCTTGTCACATGCTTCTGATGGATTCAGACTCTGCAGAACACAACCTTTCCTTTTCTTAAGCAAGTACGTTTCTACTGGTTGCAAAGAGTCTCTCCTGGATGTGACTGGACCTTAGACAGCCTGAAACAAGAGGCAGGCCCTGTCCTCATTCCCCTGAGTGGGGTGTTTTCTCTTAAACCTGGTTACATTTTAAAGAGTGTGGTTTTCAGATTACTTAAGTGCCCAACTGCGCACCTAAATGGCATGAACAGGTGCTGCAGTGCCGCAGTCAAGTCCAGGAGCTGCATGTGCAGATGGCCAAACAAAGGGCAAACATAAGGTCCTAAAGATACCCTGGGTAAGGCTTTCCCCACTGAGAACTGCTGTAGGCAACACTCTCCTTTCTGGACACAGTGCACGCTGCTCTGGGGCAGCCCCAGTGAGGCTGTGTGGGTATTACAGAGGAGAAGATCTGGCCCCCTGCTCAGCAAAGCAAGGAGCTTATCTGAAGACCCAGAAAGGGGTGTTTTGAGTAAGGAATTGTCATGTTTGCAGCCCCTTTTCCGGCCATAACTGCACTTTTCCAGCCAGGGGCACCGTGTGGTCTATTTGTCTGAGTCTTTCAGTTCTGGAGCCTGGATTCTGTTCTGCAATGAGCCTGGCCCTTGACGGGTAACTAAGATGTCCAAGCGGACACCTGACTAAAAATGGTCTAACGGGGCGATCCTGTCGACCGGGGGCATAATGCCTCCTACAGGATATCCCACAGGTTCCAGGCCCTACTGCCTGAGCTCGTGTCAAGCTCCCGCCCTCTTTCTTCTCTCTCCCCTAGGCCACCAAAGATGGACCAGCTTGGTGTTGGTGGCTTATTTCCATCTTGCCCCTGGACCCATCCGATCAGCTCCGGCTCTTTGCCACCACCTCGCTGCGGGCCCGCCTCACTCAGCTGAAGCACATCCTGACCGGCATTCTGCAGCGCCGCGATTACGGCCACCAACTCGCAGACCTCCGCCCGAGAGGCAGGATCTAAAATCCAGGGCATTGCCGGTGCCTTGGCCAACTCGACAAGCACTTTGGGAGGGCCGGCCACGGGTGGGATGGAGATGTCGCCCGTTTTATTTCTGTGTTTGGCCTCCATGTTTTTACTGTCTTTTCTTCCTCACACTGACCTCAGCAGCCGGCCGCGCGCAAGCCTCTCCGGCAAACAGAGCTGGAAAGGGCATGCAGTGGCAGCGAGAGTCCTTGATCGATTAGTGATACCATGCCGTCCATGCAGTCTTGATAAGCTGCTTAGGGGATTTAGGAGCATCTCACTAGGTCTGAGGAAAGTAGCAAGTCTGAAGGTGGGGCCAGGCTAAGGACACTGGATTGCCTCTATGAGCCAGAGCCCCATGCCAAGTTATTTTGGTATCAAGAAATCTCGAGGGCAACTAGAAATGAATGCCAGGTGTCGCGTTGTTTTGGACTCTTCCACATTCAGGGTCACTAGTGTTTGCTAGCTTGTCCCAGTCTCTGCACGCTAGGTGAGGAAAAGGGGCTTTAAATCATTGGAAGTGTTGTAACAGGAGGGGGGAGGTTTCAGTGGCTTCCCGTGAGTTAGAATTGGTGCCTTTAATCATGAGTTTGATCTGAGAGTCCATAAAAAAGAGAATTACGTTAAATTAATTAAATTAAATAAAATAATCGGATCTTCTCAGGTCAGCTTCTAACAGCTGCTTATGGCCAAAAATCCCGAAAGAGAAGTTGCTACTTTAATATACCCAGTTCAGTACGTTCCCGTCTTTCAGGTTTGCTTCCTTCTCTGCTTTTGTTTGGGTGTCTGAATTTGCAGAAAGCTTCTGCCCCTTATTCAGTCTGGCAATGCTAAGAGATGCTGCTGCGTTGCTCTTGCAAGGGTGAGCCACCCGTTTCTCATGGACTCAGAGACTTTAAGGCCAGATGAGACCATCGTGATCATCTAGTCTGACCTGCACGTTGCAGGCCATAGACCCTCAATCGCCCACTCCTGTCATAGACCCATAACCTCTGGCTGAGTTACTGACGTCCTCAAATCATGGTTTAAAGGCTTCAAGTTACAGAGAATCCACCACTTACATTAGGTTAAACCTGCAAGTGACCCATGCCCCATGCTGCAGAGGAAGGCAAAAAAACCTCCCAGGGTCTCTGCCAATCTGACTCGGGGGGGAAGGGGAATTCTTTTCTGACCCCAACTATGGCGATCAGTTAGACCCTGGGCATGTGGGTGAGACCTGGGAAAGAATTCTCTGTAGGGACTCAGAGACCTCCACATGGAGTTTCCATCTGCTGCTGGAGGAATGCCATGGAACAAGGAAGGCAGGGAGAGTTTGCTCAGATGAGAGGTGTGCCAAAGAGGCCACGGTTGGATCTGGATTGAGTTTAAACTGGGATTCTGCTTCTTGGCCAGCTCATTAAAAGCTTTGGGTTTGAAGGCACCAAAATCTCAGGCAATTTGGCCCACAAATAATTTTATGAGATTTCTGACATCTTGAGTGGTGGAAATCTTGTGAGATCAGCATTTCTTGTGATATTTCTGCCATTTTGGGCTGAAATCTTTTGTCCTGAGATTTTGACCGCAGTTTGAACTGAGATCAGAAGATGAGGTTCTTCCAGTTTCGGATGCAACCTTCAAATGAAACCGAGAGAGACAGGTTTGGGTCTGGGGCTTCAAATCTAAATGTCCATAAATTCAGCGTGGTTCGGTTGAGCTGATCTGGGATTCTTCTGGCTAGTGATGGACCCGTGATGCTAAGGTTGATCTAGATCTAAACTTCTCCGTAGCAGGCGAGCAAGAGTCTGAGTGCCTATGACTCATTTCCTCTTGTCACTTAATACAATGGAATGAGATGATAGGTGGAGGAAATGAGCTAGGAGTTTGTGGCTGCTTTTCTGTAGATCTAGACTGGGTCGTTTTCTCTCCCAACAACATTATTTCTAAGGGGTTGGGTTTAATTTTATTTAGTTCTTTATTTAAAAAATAATCAGTCGCTGGGTTACGGATTTGCCAGGATCTCATCCCTGCCTGCCCCATCTGCCCCAACTACCATCAGGAGGCTCCATGTGCTATCGTGAGAGGCCAGTCTAGGCCATGCTGCCTGGCCTGTTTGCCCCATGATCTCTGGAGCAAAGTGGGGCTGTGGTGGTCTCCACTGGAGGAGCTCTTCCTCTGTTTTCTTTTTGGGCCTCATCCTCAGCTACTCCCATTTACACCAGCAGAGTATCTGGCGTATGAGCTCGGATCTAGAATGGCTCAGGTGATCATCTCTCACCGGGTTCAGTATTATTAGTACCATGTAGGAAAGGATTGAGAATCTCCAGCCCCTCTGCCCGCTCCACCCTGATCCCCTCAGTTCAGGCGTCTCTGCTCACCCTCAGCACCCTTCTTCCCCCACCACTCCAGCGTTGGAGGTTTGATTCCCTACTTCCCAACAAAGTGCCTTGCTTGGGGGATGACCGTCCAGACTAGCTGAGGCCTGCAGTTCCTGAGAAGCTAAAGACAGAATGGGGTGGCTGGTAAGGATGGGTCAAAGCTGGATTTTTGTCTTCACCCCTGGACTTGGCTTTTCCCCCTCATGCTTTGCCCCTGTTACTACAGCACTGGGCCCATGGTGATCCCCGAAGGCGACGTAGTGGCGTGACAACGGGGACTGAGGGGCTCTGGCTGCCTGGCCTGTGGGGGAACCCCCAGAGTTTTGGGTAGGATGAGGGCAGGGGTGACTATACGGGGGGCCGCAGTATATTACTGAAGGGACTGGCTGCTCCTGCTACTGCTGGGAATGGAAATAACGAAGGGGGTTTGAAAGCCAATGGCAAACGCACAGATTTCTCTTCACTGAACTTCGGGAAGTGCCTTTAATTTATTTGTGGCAGGTGTGATCGGTTCACCAAGCTGATCAGAAGGCTCTTAAGCACTGGGGTTTCCATTCGCCACCCCAGCCCCTTCCTGTGGCCTCAAGCTGCAGATTCGACTGGCCAACGTGTTCACCCTACACCTTGTTCATCCCCCCGTGACCCCCCCCCCCCAGTTTGCTGTCATGCCTATTCTGGTAGCACAGGTAAGATGTGGCGGGGGCAGTGTCTGGAAGTTGCTGCTAAGACTTTGCCATTTAGCAGTAGTGATCTAGCTTAGGAATTGGCAAGCCCCATGGAGGGTGACCACCGGAGCCTCTTCTCCTTCCACGTCTGCGTCTGGTAGAGACTCGTTGGAATCGCTCCAGTTCGCTTGGAGTCCATTTGGATTTTTATGAGCAGGATTTTTCTCTTTGAACAAAACTTTCCATATTGTCAAAGAAATAAAGGAGGGTGTTTTGTGTTGTGCCTGTTTGAACACTGACTGGGTTGGTTTGATTCCTTCCTCTGAGTCCCTCTCAACCAAAGCCTGAGCAGAAGCCCTCATGCGGCAGCTGGGCCCTTGACAGACGCATGGAGCGGTAACGCTCCTGCCCTAAGACATTCACAGTCTGGTTTAGACACAGCACAGGCAGGAGAGAGGATCGGGGTGGGAGGCTGAGTGAGGAAGAACTGGGAGGATAGGGAGGGAGGTTGGCTCAAAGAAGGAGGAAGTGTTAGGACTGGTACACAGGGAGAGCTATAAACGCTCTGGAGCTGTGTCGGGCTCAGTTCAGCCACAGCGCTGAGGGAGGTGGCTGCTGGGAAATGGGGGGCATTCCACTGATTTCAACCAAGGTGCTGGGCAGCCCCGTGCCCACAGCATCCCCATTGCTTCCCAAGCCAGAGCTGCAGTTGCAAACAGCTCCCCAGCTCTTGTGCCACCAATGCAGGAGGGAGGGTGTGCAAGGAGCTTCCCTGCACCTCAGGTGCCCTGCAAAAGGGCCAAAGACAATGGTAGTCCATGCATGCTGGGGCACATGTTGCCCCAAAGATAGGGTGACCAGATGTCCCGATTTTATAGGGACAGTCCCGATTTTTGGGTCTT